GCCTCCATCGAGACGGCGAGAGCAAATCCTTACCTACACAAAGAGGAGAGAAAATGTTTCCAGAAAGTCGCAGAGAGAGAAGAGAAAGGACCAGTCAAACAGTGGTTTCGTTAGTCCCGCACAGTGCGCAGGAAATGCATGTACCCGCCGTGCTCGCCTCCTCTATCCGACCCAAATCTGGTCCGATTCTCGACGAGGGAACAGACGGACGGTCGCCTCCCGCACCTCAAAAGTCGCGCTCTTCCTTTCAAAGCTCAACTGATACAGCTTGTTCTGCTCCCCAAACTTTCCCCCAACCCTCACAAGAAACCACAGAAAGCAATAATTTCTCCAGACGCGGTGCAAGAAAGATACAGTTCGACTGAGAAACGTCTGTACAAGCAATTACTTCGCAACCGGCCTTGGAAATCATCCGCTGCGTTGTACACTCACGCAACATCTGACACGCACAAACAGAAAGAGAAGGAAGAAACGAGAGACGAACAGCTGCAGCAAACCTAATAATAATAATGAATAAATGTCAAAAAACACGCTCGAGATAAAGATCTCATCTTTTGTATCTTTTTCCCTTTCATCACTAAGAGGCGACGGAGGGTGGAGCTCATGATGATAATAAAGGTTGACAGGAAGAGACGTGAGCACGCAACGGAAACAGCATCGTATCATACCATTGTCCTCCGCCCTGTGCTCACTCTCTTCTGTCAACCATTCGTTTTCTCATTCTCCTTAAGTCTCATTTCTTGACCTAAAATCTCGATCTTTCTTTCCCTTTTGTTTCCCCTCCACACAAGGAATTCCACCCCAAAGCCTCCCTTGTCAGATCTGAATCCTGTCAATAGTCACATCGCAAAAGAAATAGAAAGAGAGAGGATCGTCACGACAGCAGCAGAAGCCGCAGGAAGCCGCAGGCAAGAAGAACTCGCTCATCTTGTCGTTATAAAGGGTGGGGAAGAAGGGAAGGCGGTGACGGGACTCGAGCTCTCTCCATCTAATTAGATGATTAGAGGGACGTAACTAAGATATTAGCGGAGAGGATTACGAGGCGAATGAGGTCATTAAGCCGTTGTCGAGAGGGCATTGGTGGAAACCTCTCGTGGTGTCGGGTACTACTTGCGATTTGACCCATTGTACTCGTGGCGGCTGCAGGAGGATGATGACGTGGGGCCCTTTGGGAATCCATCGATGAGAGACGCTGATGGGGACGACGTACTGGTACCCGCCTCCAATCCCTCCGATTTAAAGGAATTCTTCTCGGTGCCCGCCGTCGATTACTCGCTCCCGGCCTCGGGATGTGGTTGGGGCAGCACACCGTCGTGGGACCCATCTCCAATCAAAATATAGGTATGAAAAAGGGGTAATCTCCACTATGCTGCCGACGATTTCGTTCGTTGTTTAGCAGATAAGTCATTTTGTTTCATATATAAGGTGAATTTTAGATAAAATTCTTTACACAGATATGTCTAAAGTTAAAAACTATAATTAAAATTATATATATATATATAGAGAGAGAGAGAGAGAGAAGAGAGAGAAAAGGTTTGGGAGCAAAGATATGAAAAAGAATAAAAGACTTTTCAATGTAACATTTGGAAATTATAACTAACACAGTGTTTTCATTACTCGAATATTTAATTAAAAAACTTTCTAATTTCGGATGGTGGAATGTTCGGTCCCCATCGCCTACAATTTGTGGATAGAGGAAAGAGACCGCCCATCACCCGAGAGAAGGGTCAAAACTAGCGGATGCAGGCAACTTAACTCTACTAACACCGTTGGGTGGAAATTGTGCCACACGTGGACCATGATAAATGCTACAGAGATTATTAATTTTTATCCAATTTTAGGTGGTGATCATTTTAGGAGGAGTCCTCAAAATCAATCAATTATAGTAAGGTGATGATATAACTATTTTTTTTAATGAGTAAAAATTTGACACGCAAAGCACAGTGAGTTCGGTGATGCTAATACATCAATCAGAGATGTCATGTCAGCATGACATTTAAAGAGAGTATTTATGCTGGAGGCACTTAATTATTTACCAATTACATTAGCAATACAAACATTTACTTTGAAAGAAAGAAATCCTTTCTCGACTGAGTCATGACTCTAAATTCCCTCAAGTTGGATCGCTGATCATGATGGACTATAAACGTTTGTGCAAAGCCAATGATTTCATCGACACCTGGCTGCTCTTCCTGTGTTCGTCAAGTGCGTGTGCGTGAGAAGAGGTATTGCACCTGCTGATGACGATAACGATGACAGTATTGAGATATATATATATGCAGTTGTACACAGAAGAACGGAGCAGAGAGAAACAAGTGGTAATTGTCGGTCAAGCAGCCAATCATGCATGAATACGTACTTGGATGATCACATGAGGAGGAGACAAGGACAGGTCAGCGGCTCATATGTACTACGTCTGCTGCAATTATGACAGCCACGTGGACCATGTAGATTGAATTGACTAGGCGAGACATCCAATGGTCCACATCAATTTCAAAACGATTATGATAAATTACGTGTCTATATATATATATAGTGATTCATCTAAAAAAATCCATATTTTAGGTATTTTCTAAAGGATACATTTTTCTTTTGTTTTTTTATCAGATAATATTTCTAATTTAAAATAACTAAAATATCTCTCAAAAGTTTTTTGATTAAAAATTTGAATCTATTTTTTATTAGTTTTCAATTGGTGTAGTATTTTCGTTTGGCTTATTTATGATATTTTTTAATAACGTTTATAGTGCTTTATTGAGATATTAAAAATACTGTAAGAATTATTGAAAAATATTATAAATGACTTTATATTTATATTGTACCATTATAATACCATAGTTTCTCAAATAATATTTTTTTATTTTAAAATACATAAAATACCTCTCAAAAAAAATTTCATCTGTTTTTTTGCTAGTTTTCAACTGATACAGTGTTTTTCATTTATTTAAATTATTTTTTCAATAGTAATTATAGTCTTTTATTGAGATATTAAAAATATTATAAACGTTAATGAAAATTTGACTTCATATTGTATCACTTGGATTGTCATTCTTCATATGCCATTATGATATCATAGTTTTAGGTTTGTAGTTAGTATAGTTGAGATAAGAAATATATTTATATCATTTATAATATAAGAAGGTCTCATAGTATTTTTATTATAATGATCAAAACATTATAATAAGTCAAAATACTATAACATGTGAGAAATTTTTTAGAAATAATTTAATTTTTTTTTAAATTAAGTAGTACTGTTTTAAAAATAAATATTACTGATC